GGGGAGGGAGGGAGGACGCGACCACGCCTGCGCAGTCGGAGTGGCCCGCGGGGAGGCGCGCGAGGGGGGCGGGGCGGCCCTGCCCTAACGGTCTTTTTTAAGGTGACGTCATGTGCTATTAATAGCTGCGGCGAGGGCCGCGCTGGAGAGCTGCGCAGGCGCCCTCGGAGTGCTGCATTTTACCGCCGCAGTGTCTGAGGGTGGGGAACGGTCGGGGTGCGGCGGCGCTAGTTCCTCAGGCAGGCGTTGTCGCAGCCCAAGCCAGAAGAGTGCCACAGAGCCCATGTTAGAGCTCAGGCTTGAGGGGGGTCCTGCCAGCTAATAACCCAGTGTGGGGAAGCCGCGGTCCCCACAGAGGGTAGGCTTTGCTGGCCTTAGCCACACCCAGCACTCGGGGACAGCGCTGGGGGACAACCCCTCCGAGACACACTAGAACCCACCATGCTGCTCCCTGGGAAGTGGCCTTGGGCCAGCTCTGGCTTTCACAGGACTGGGTGGCTTGGCAGAGTTTAACGTTCACAGCTGAGAGCTGGCCCAGTGCTGGGCATTAACGGGCACTCAACCTATTTCATAAGGACCACTCCAGGAAGGGCACAACAGACCCCCGTTTTTTCAAAGCGGAAGTGCACGCCACGACCCTGGTTTTAAAAAAAAGTTGGCGACCATACTGGTCGACTTACCCTGTTTCAAATCTTTGGAAGGGAGTTGGGGGTTAAAGCAGAAGTACCGTGTTTGCCTGGCGTGAGTGAGGGCCTGAGGTGGACCCTTCAGCGGAAGAAGGAGCAAAAATGCAAAGCAAGAGCACACATCCTGTGTGCAGAGGGACTAAAACCTGATTTCAGTATCTTTTTGGATTTCTGTGGCAATGGTCTGACTGGTCACTAAGCCCCTCCCAGTCCTGTCATTCTCTGCAAAGGGATCCTGGGTTGGGCCTTAAATCAAGCTAGAAAAAAACAAAAAACAAGCACTCTAGCCAGAGTGTGGTGGCACTTGCCTTTAATTCTGGCTGTTTGGAGACAGAGACTGGCAGTTGTCTGTGAGTTCAAGGCCAGCCTGATCTACGGAGAGAGTTCCAGAAAAATGAAAAACAAAGCCCAGGGTAGCACAGGAGAAGGGAGGGACCTTCACAGATGAGGACTCTGTGCTCATGTTGAAGACTATGGGGCAGAGATGAACCTGGATCTTCAGGAGCGTCATTTTCATTTTTAAATATACAGAGAGAACGTTTGAAACTTTCTTAAACATTCCATTTATTTGGGTGGGAGGCAGGTGGGGTGAGGGATGCATGTATAGAGGCCAGAGGACAACTTGGGGCAATTGCCTCTCTACCCCGTGGGTTCTTGGGAGGAATTCAGGTCATCTGGCTTACCTGCAGGTGCCTTTACTGGCTGAGTCACCTCACTGGCCAGTCATTTTTGTGTGTTTTTATTTTATTTTATACAGATCTCTCATTTGACCTGGAACTCACTAATTGGGTTATGCCTACTGACCTTAGAGCCCCAAGAATCCACAGCTTTCATCTCTACTACACTGTGGTCCAAGCATGTTCCACTATGCCTGGCTTCTTAGCGCTGGGTGCTGGGGTCAGGCAATGGGGACCTTACCGCTGGCTTGAGCAGAAAACCCTTTCCTGACATGGAGCTGTCTCCAGTCCGCAGAGACTGTCACTAAGCACCTGCTACATCTCAGGACTGCAGTAGCCCCCAGGTACAGCTCTGGTTCTGAGGAGAGGAGATCCAAAAACAAAGAGCAGGTTAGTTGGACTTTGAAGGAGATAAGAAAAATACCAGGATGTGGTATTGTGTGCACAGAGGCTTAATAAGAATAAAGATAAAATCAAAGGGTGAGAAGCTACATCCAGGAGCAGGAAGTGAGGTTTGTTGAAAAGGGATTGTGGAGTATTTTAAAAGCTAGGCTTTTAAATGATTCTTTTTAATTTTGGAACAGGGTTTCTCTATATAGCCTGTCTGTCCTGGAGCTCACTATGTGAACCATCTCTGGCCTCACAGAGATCTGCCTGCCTCTGCCCAACAAGTCCTAGGGTTAAAGGTGTGTGACACCACGCCTGGATTGCCATATGCTTTTAAGATACTTGTTAGGGGGCTGAAGAGATGGCTCGGTGATTAAGAGCATTGGCTGTTCTTCCAGAGGACCCAGGTCAATTCCCAGCACCCACATGGCAGCTCAAACTGTAATTCCAGTTCCAGGGGATCTGACACCTTCACACGGACATACATGCTGGCAAAATGCCAGAGAAGAAGAAGACGGAGGAGGAGGAGGAGGAGGAGGAGGAGGAGGAGGAGGAGGAGGAGGAGAAGAGGAGGAGGAGGAGGAGGAGGAGGAGGAGGAGGAGGAGGAGAAGAAGAAGAAGAAGAAGAAGAAGAAGAAGAAGAAGAAGAAGAAG